ATTGCTTTTGAAATAAATAATATAATAATTTATCTTCATTGATATTTCATTCTTCTTATTCTTCATACAACATCAATCATAAAACACCATTTCAACAAATAAATGAAAATGAAGAAATAACAATAAAATGTATAATAAGAATATGAATAAATAAATATAAATAGAAAGAAATAATAATATAAAATAAGAAGTATATTAAATGAAAGTAAAAAGAGTAAAATATTAAATGAAAGAAGAAATAAAGATAATAATTAAACCAAAAATGAATATAATAAACAAAAATAATAAATGAATAAGAAAATACTAAAAGAAACGAATAATTTGAAATAATTTAATAAATAAAATTGATTATGAAATATAAAATAAATAAAATGATAAGTATTAATGTAAATAACGAAAATATAATATTAATATTATTTTATAAATTAATTGAAATTTAATTTCATACGATATAAAATATAATTATTCATTTATTAATTTCGTCTTTTTATATTTTATTTCTTATTTTATTTCTTATCTTCTTTATTTTATTTATTTCAATTATTATTTATTATTATTGAAAATATGATAAATAATATGTGAAATTAATGATAAATGAAATAATCAAATAATTATATGAAATATATGTGTTATGAAATAATTTATTTATTTCATATTTTAAAATAAAATTGATGAAATAAAATAAATATCAATAAAATAAATAGAACAATGATATAGCTATTTGAAATTGTACTTTAAATTGTGTTTTTATTAATATATTAGATTATTATACATTCAATTTATGAAATATATTTAATTATCATTATTATATTATATATTTGAAATTAAAGAAACACAATTTATTAATTAAAGTTAAATAGAAATAATAATTAATGAATAAAAATAAAGAAATAAAGAAAATAATAATATCATAATGAAATACAATTATATTCATATTATTTATAATTTATTATGTTTCATTTTATTATATTATTTATTATATTCATATATTATATTCATATTATTGTTTATTATTCATTATTTCATTTGATTTATTATATAATTCTTTCTATTCTTTCATTTCTTATTACTTTAAAAACATTTTATTTGTTATATTATTATTTATTATTTATATTTATTTTTCATTTCTTATATAAACTATTCTATTTATTATTTCTCATATTGTTATATATTTCTTTATTTATTATCATTCATTTTATTTAATTCTTTCTTCTTATTTGTCATTTTATTATATTTCTTTCTTTTCTTCTTTTTATTTTCTTCTTTTATTTCTATTTTATTATCTTTTATTTATCATAAATAATAAATAATAGATAATAAGAAATGAATAAGATAGATGAATAAGAATAATATTTAATATGATTATCAATTAATGAAAATATAAAATGATATAATTTAACAACATTATCAAATATAATATCAGTAATGAATGTAAATATAATAAACAATATGTAAAATTCATAAATACTCATATCAAATCATTATAATATCGAAATTAATGATTATTTATTATTTATAACAATGAAATAAATGAAATAATAAATATTTCATTTTCACATTCATGATCTTTAATTCATTTATCTACAATTTATTAATTATTCAATATTTAAACAATATAAATCTAATGAAAATCACAAAATAATAACAAAACATCAACATAATACAATAATAATACAATAATAATATAGAAAGAAAAGACGAAGAAAGAATTAAATAATCAAATAACAAAATATTTAAATAAAAAACAAAAAAGATAAATTAATAAAAAAATAATAATAAAAAATATCAAATATTCTTGTTATGAAAAATAATCATTATGAGAATCTATTCCTTTCTGTTTCTTTTCTTTTTTTTTGTTCTTTATGTTGTTTGTAAGATTTAGTGAATTTACTTTTATTCTTTTTTCATTCATAACTGTCATTTCCATCATATTTTAAACCATTTATTTCTTCTTCTGATACTGCTGATATGACTTATGATGTTTTCAAAATATCACTTCATGTCTTTATTAATTCACTCTACTTCTCATAAAATCTTTTCATATTTGTGTGTTGATGTTGTTTGAGTGGTGTTCTAGAGATAGTTCTTATATTTTCTGTTTTGATAGTTTGACATTCTTGATGTTATGTTTTTTATCTCAAAACACTTTGTTTTACTTTCTAATAGTGGTGTCATGCCGTGCCCTTTTTAATTTTGTTGAGATACCTTCAACATTTACACTCAAATTCATTGTTGAATATGTTTATATTGAAGTAATTCGTGTTGTTTGTTTTGTTGTTTTGAGAATGAACTTAATAAACTAAGTATTGATGAAAGACAACAAACTTGTTGTGAAGATCAATCACACTTAGATATTCCATTTAGTAATCTTTGTGATTTGGTTAGACAAACGCCATAAATGGCTATGAGTGTAGAAGAAATAGAAGTTAAGATAAATGAAGTGATGTTA